TCACCACATTTGCTTAGGCACCCACTTTGTCTTCCGTGCCTGTATCACGGGAAGGTGAGCATCATGGAATGCCAGTTTAAACTGAAAGGAAGAAGTGAAATAAAGGAGTTGAACAGATTATTTTTAAGGGCAGCTTAAAGAAGATGGAGTTAGGAAAACAAAATGGAAGAATACACTCAGCCATAGGACCTTAGAAACCAAACCCTCTTGAACAATTCTGTCCTGCCCTATAGGGTTGCTATGAGTCAGTATTGACTCACTGGCAGTGGGTTTGATTTCTAGTGGAGAAATACTTGTGTGCTTTACTCCTAACCAGATGGTTTGAACCTAGAAGCCATGTTGCCGAAGAAAGATGATGGTCTGCTTCCTTAAAGACTTAGAAACCCTAAGGTACAGCTCTCTCTTCTGTAGCGTGTCTGTGGGTCAAAATAAAGTAGGCTTCAGTGAGGTAAATCATTTGTTTTTACTGTTTAAATGAATATGTTATCTGGATATAAATCACAACGTTACTTTCTTGAGTAATGCTTACTGCATTTAAATTGATTCACAATACTTTCTCCAATGAAGTCATTCATGTTTGAGACTCAGGATGTGTTTTATGCATCACTTGTGCTCCTCATGGATTTTATCACAACCAGATATATAGTCATGTTGAAAAGCCTGCTATGGGGAATTGTGTTCTCAGAATTAGCTCAGTGAACACCTTCAGATATAGACTGTGGCCACTGGTTACACTCATTGTAAAAGTTGGTAATTATTTGCTATACATTGATCTCTTGCTCATTCTAGAAACCAGTTACATTCGAAGATGTCACTGTGGTCTTCACGGAGGCAGAATGGGAGACACTGAGCTCAGAGCAGAAGAACCTGTACAGAGACGTGATGCTGGAGAGTTACAGGAATCTGCTCTCCTTGGGTGAGGGTGTGTGTTTTTTCCCTTTATTGAGTCTCTAGATATTTATTAACTACCTACTACATGTCAAAGGGAGCCCTGGTGGCACAGTGATTAAGTTCTCAAAAGGTCAGTAGTTTTAACCCTTAATCTTATCCCGAATTGTACCTTGTTCGTTATTAAACCAATTAATTAGAGCAGGTGTCTATGCAGACATGGTCAAGTCCAAGAACCACACCATGTACAACGAATCCCGGAAATAGAACAGACAGAAATGGGTATCAAGAAACCCCAGTCACAGCGATATGAATCTCTGAAGGGGTGTACCCCACATTCATGAGGAACATTTGCTTTGTCAAGAAGCACAAGAAGGGCCTGAAGACAATGCAGGCTGACAGTGCCATGGATGCTCGTGCTGATGTTATCAAGGCTCTTGTGAAGAGATCTCAATGGGTGTCAACCACAAACTCAGTTGACTGGCCTACATTGGCCATCCCAAGCTTGGCAGGTGGGCTCAGATATGTATTGCCAAGGGTCTGAGGCTCTGCTGGCTCAAAGACAAGGCACAAAAAGAAAGGTTGACACTCCAGTCAAGGCCTTAACTCTAGCTCAAGCTCCTAAAGGTGCCCAGGCCATAAAGTAGAGTTCTCTGTCTGAGGATGAGAGGGACTGGTGTGACCCCTGGGCTGCCATCTGCATGGAGCTCGTGTCTTGTGCTGTTTGTACAAATAAACCTAGGGTGGGCAAAAATAAAAAACCAAAACCAGTTAGTTATGAATATGGTTGTTGTCTCTGATTCCTTCTTTATAATAAGAAAAGTCTTGAAGGACATTGCCTCATAGGTCATAGAACCTGTATTTTCTAAGTAATACCAAAATGTGAAGGGGGGAATATGGCATTGTGAATGACGAAGGCTTATAGGTTTAGTGGAAGGACGAGGGACAAGGCCGGCTATATTAGAAGCTGTTTATAAGACAGAAGCAGTTGCTGATTCTTGCTTGAGAAATTCTAAACTGGTTGACATGTTGAAGAGGTTTGGGGTTGGGCTATCTGCATTATAAGACCTAAATCCACTGCCATCAAGTTGATGGTAACTCACAGCTACCCTATGTAAGACATTGCATAACTGTTCCTTAGGGTGCCAAGGCTGTACATATAGAAGCAGACTGCCCCGACATTCTACCGTTGAGCTATTGGTGGGCTTGAACCACCAGCTTTTTGGATCTTAGCCAAATGCTTTAACCACAGCACTATTGGAGTTCTTCTGGATTGCAGTAGACAGTGTAATTTGTTTAACTGGACCTTAAATGAACCAATTGGGTTGTGTATATTATCAGCAACTATTGTGGCAGTGAAATTGTTGTTAGCTGCCATGGAGTCTGGTTTAACTCATGGTGACCCCATGTATGAGGTAGAACTGTTCCATAGTGTGTTCTCGCTGTAACCTTCCAACAGATAGCCACGCCTGTCTTCCAGACCACCACCCTTTGGGCTAGTCGTGGAGCACTTAACTGTCTGTGATTCGCTGGGACTCCAGCAGTGAGATACTGTCTGTCATAAGAAAAGGCTGCGCAGGCCACTCATAGCTGCTCTAATAGAAAGTCCTCTCTCTTCTGCAGAACCAAAGTCAGAAATCTACTCGTGTTCCTCCTGCCTCTTGGCTCTCTCCTGTCAGCAGTTCCTCAACCAGCATGTGCTTCAGGTCTTCCCTGGCCTGTGTGCAGAGAATCACTTCCATCCAGGAGATTCCAGCCCAGGGCACCAGCAGCAGCCAGAGCATCAGGATTCTGATGAGAGCTGCAGGAGTGAAAACACTCAAGGTCGGGACCAAGAAGACATCTCCAAACCCTGGTGTGGAAGCACAGGGGAGAGAGAGACCTCAAGAGCATTCTGCAGCCCAGCCGGGAGACAGCCAGCAAGCCCAAGAGAAGGCAACACAGTGGTAGGAATGGAGGCCAACTCAGTCCACACAGCAGAAAACGATGTGGAAACAGATAAACAGTTGAAGGAATTAGAAACCTCAATCTTTGAAACAGTTAGCTATAGAGCGGAGGGACCAGACTATTTCCTGAAATCAAACTTCCCCACAAACCAGAGAGCCCTTTTCTGGGTTAAGCCACATGTGTGCAGTGAGTGTGGGCGAGGCTTTATCCATAAGTCCTCTCTCCTCATACATCAGAGGACACACTTAGAGGAGAAGCCACATGTGTGCAGTGAGTGTGGACGGGGCTTTATCCAGAAGTCATCTCTAATTATACATCAGAGGACACACTCAGGGGAGAAGCCACATGTGTGCACTGAATGTGGGAGAGGCTTCGCCCAGAGACCGCATCTTCTTAGGCATCAGAGGTCACACACAGGAGAGAAACCTTATGTGTGTCTCCAGTGTGGGCGAGGTTTTAGCCGCAAGTCAAATCTCATCAGACACCAGAGGGGCCACACAGGAGAGAAACCTTATGTGTGTCTGGAGTGTGGGCGAGGCTTTAGCCACAAGTCAAATCTCATCCGACACCAGGGGGGGCACTCCGGGGAGAAGCCACATGTGTGCAAGGTATGTGCACGAGACTTTATGCCAAAATCAAGTCTTCTTATAGACCAGAGGGAACGCTCAAGGGAGAAACCACATGTGTGTGAGGAGTGTGGACGGGGTTTTAACTACAAGTCAACTCTCATCTTACACCAGAGGAAACACTCAGGAGAGAAACCTTACCTGTGTCTGGGATGTGGCCGAAGATTTAGCCACAAGTCAAATCTTATCAGACATCAGAGGACACACTCAGAGGAGAAGACAGATGTGTATAAGGAGAGTGCACCAGACTTTATGCCAGAATCAAGTCTCCTTATAGAGCAGAGGGTGCACTCAAAGGAGAAGCCACATGTGTGTGAGGAGTGTGGACGGGGTTATAACTTCAGGTCTGCACTCATCATACACCAGAGGAAGCACTCGGGGGAGAAGCCTTACCTGTGTCTGGAATGTGGGCAAAGCTTTAGCCAGAAGTCAAATCTCATCAGACACCAGAGGACACACTCAGAGAAGCTAGATGTCTGCAAGGAATGTGCACGAGACTTTATACCGAAATCCAGCTTCCTTATAGAGCAAAGGAAACCCACAAGGGAGAAGAAGCCATACATTTGTAAGGAGTGTGGACAAGGTTTTAGGAGCAAGTCAAATCTCATCATACACCAGAGGAAACACTCAGGAGAGAAACCTTTCTTGTGTCTGGAATGTGGACGAGCCTTTAGCCACAAGTCAAATCTCAACAGACATCAGAGGACACACTCGGGAGAGAAGCCAGATGTGTACAAGGAGTGTGCTCAAAACTTTATTCTGGAATCAAGTCTCCTTATAGAGCAAAGGAAACACATAAGGGAGAAGCCACATGTGTGTAAGGAGTGTGGACAAGGTTTTAGCTACAAGTCAGTTCTCATCTTACACCAGAGGAAACACTCGGGGGAGAAACCTTATGTGTGTCTGGAATGTCGGCGAGGCTTTAGCCATAAGTCAAATCTCATCAGACACCAGTGGACACACTCAGTGGAGAAGCCCTATGTGTGCAAGGAGTGTGGACGAGGATTTATCTCTAAGCAGAGGCTCATTAGACATCAGCACACTCATTCCAGAGAAGTGTGTTTGCAGTGAATGTGGCTGAGGTTTTATAATCACTTCTCACAAACCTGAATACACAGAGTAGAAGCTGTGTGCAGGGAGAATATGCAAGAACACTATACCTTAGAGAGCATTTTCTTTTGAAGGGAGAAGCGTTATGTGGGGAATGTGAGGTGCTGTAACAAGGAGCTATAACACTTCCTGCGCCAGAAGACACAGATGGCTAAGAGCCATGAGGTCAGGTCTGTGGTAGGAATTTGCTTGCAGTGTTCTTTCTTAGCTGATATCTGAGGACAAAGTGCTACCACCACCAATCACTACTTCACCCACCCGAGGGAGTTTTGGCATAACACTGTATGTGGTGAAGGTGTCAGTAGTAACCCACTAGACGATTTTTCCACATTAACCAAACAAAATAGAAAAGTAGAAGCTTTAAAACTGTCAGTAAAGGAAAAGAAAGAAAACTAGAAGCTTTACTTGAGTCTTGTAAGAATGATTGACTTGTTTTATTTTCATATGCTACTTCTTCAAATGCTTGGTTGTCTTTTCACTGTAGTAAAATTTTCCCTAATAAACCACAACTCAGACTGTATCAGTCATGTGCTCTGAAATGTACGGGACTTCAGATTCTCAAGTTGATAGATGAATTGAGCCCTTAGGAAAAGATAAGTTCTCACTAGGTTCGTGAACAAGTCTGAGTCTTCTTATGTACGAGAAGCGATCTAGAGTTGGGAGACAGAAGAAAGGAAAAGAGGGAGGGGCTGGTGCACTTTCCTAACAGATCAGTTCATTCCGTTACCACCTTCTATTTGCTTCTGTGGCAGCTTCCTTCCCTGATTTTCCTTTACATTTTTTAGTTTCTGTCTGGTCTGGCCAAATTTTTCTATTTCCATTGAAGTACTGGTGTTCCCTAATACTCAATTCTTAATCCTCAGTCCAGAGTCCTTTTAACTGCCTGTATCCTCATCTTGAAACCAGCCTTCTAGAGTCTTCTGCATCCCCGGGTCACATCCTGTAGTCTCATAGCTGCTTCCTATGTCTGATGACTAATGATAAATGTGCAAGTTCCTAATATTAGGTTTAAGGACCTCTAGTCATGTACCATCAGCCCTCTGATCATAGGATCCAGTCCTTCCAGGGACACCCCAATGTCTGTGACAATCCAATCACACTGTATCTATTGTTTTCACTCCATTGATCTGCCCCTTTAGCTACTCCACACTCTAGTGCCTCTCCATTTGAGCCTAAATTGCCTAAGATACCTGTATAAGATGGAATAATAACTATTCAGTGTAGTGGGTTTACATAAGCTCCAGAAAATTGTTTTGCCCAGTTAAGAGTTTGTCAGATCCATGGGCTATCAGACTATGAGAAACAAAAAGTCATGCTGTTTTTTAAAACCCTTCAAAGCTGAAAATGAAAAATGTCAGAGCAGTCATTGCCCCCATGTCCTCTAAGAGGGGTTACCAAAAACCCCCAGAATTGTCCTGGGCGGAGCAAATCTTTTGTAGGATGCATTTCTCCCACTAGGCAAGCATCAAGCAACTTGCTCTGAATTAGTGCACCCAGTGTCATCGCCTAGGAAGGTTCTCTCTCTGGTCACATTGAATTTTTTCATAAAAGCAGTTTCACTTGAACCTCATTTTTTGTGATGGCCAATTTACGAGAACAGCATGTGGCTATGAAATTTTGTTTTCTGCTCTGGAAAAATGCTGCAGAAACTTTTGTGATGTTGAACACAGCTTACAAGTTGAACAAGCTTACTATGGGAAAAACTCAAGTATACGAGTGGTTTTCTTGTTTCAAAAAAGGTGAAATGTTGATTGATGACAAACTTTGTTCTGGATGGCCATCAACTTCTTGAACGCCTTCCTCAATGACCTACGACAACAGACCATTGAAGAGATGGGAAGTTATTTGGACAATCTTGGAGCTCGGTTCTATTTTTGACATGGCGGGGATAGTGCGTTTGGAGTTCATTCCACCAGGTCTGATTGTTAATCAAGCTTTCTATTTTGAGGTTCTGAAAAGATTATATAACAGTGTACAGCAAAAAAGGCATGATTTGTGGCAGATGGGGGACTGGTTTTGCCACAACAACAATGCACCTGTTCACACAGCCATCTCAGTGCACCAACTTTTGGCAAAAAAACAGCATGTTTCTCTTGTCCCACATCCCTTACTCATCTGACCTCACTTTGTGTGTCTTCTCTTTGTTTCCTTGAATGAAGAGGGCCATGAAAGGACAGTGATTTGAAGACTAAGAAGAGGTGAAGAAAAAAAAAATGAAGGAGATGCTGTCAGCGATCCAAACAGATATATGAGTTTGAAAAATGTTTCCAAGAATGGAACCACAGATTTGACAAATGTATTAAGTGTAATGGAGAGCACTTTGAAGGTGATAAGGTTGTTTTGTAAAAAAAAATTAAATACATAGCTTTGGAAAAAAAGATTCTATTTTTTGTGGGGGTGGGGTGGGGTGTTGTGTCCCTTCGTATTCTCCCTTACCATGAAATCAGCATTCTAAAGGATCTTGTGTCACTCGGGTACATAAATATGGTGGGAGCAGCTAGTAGTGTGGGTCTGGATCTTTTGCCACATTTGTCCTTAATGCCCCTTTGCCAGAATTCCTCCATAAGTATGTTTCCTTGTGGAAGGGACAGGTAAAATGTCGATGGATATGTAATCTAGGGGTTTGAGGAAGGATGATTCTAGAGAACTCCCAGGACTCTTTGAAATGTAATCACAAAGCAAACCTGTGTGTGTGTGTGTAGAAATGGAGCAAACTCTACTTCTGAAAGCACTGCCCCTGTAATGTGTGGCCATTGTTGTCATGCCTATGGAACGGACTCAGTTCTACCATAGCAGAGGGAGGGTGCAGGGGAGTTAGCTTTTCAGACATGGCAACTAGCTTCATTGACTGTCTCTTCCTTCCCTGTTTCTCAGAAGGTCTCCTGGGATAGGGCCCCAATCATTTCATTGGAGAAGTAAGTAGAACTGAAGCTTCCCATAGAACAAGGAGTAAACATGGGGGAGAGTTGTAGACAAGAAGGTACGAATGCCCTGCTTCCCTGGACTTTGGCTTTGATACCCAAAGGAATGTCTTAGTTGTTGTGTTAGGAACAGATGGCTGTTTCTTACAGTAGGTCAGGGGTCTCAAATCCCTGCAGAAACCAGACAATTTCTATTATTGAGGGAACTAAACCCAAATTGGTGGTGGAGAGTGGGTTTTTAAAAAACAGTTTTATTAGCACTTCATCCTCATACAATTCAATCATATCAAGAAGAGTTGTACAATAGTCACCATATTCAATTCTAGAATATTTTCTTCCTAATACTTGTTATTTATGTCATTATTGTTTTTCTAATTGTTGCAAAAATATACACAACAAAATATTCTCCAATTCCACAACTTCTACTTGTATAATTCAGTGTCACTGATTATACTCTTCATTATTGATATCGTTTTTCAAAATTTCAAAGTCTACCACCACTGACATAAACTCAACATCCCCTAAACAACAATTCTTTCTCCTTCACCCATGGTAACTGTTGGTCAAGTTTTGTTTCTTTTTTTTTTTTTAGAAGTTTTCTTGATAGAGTATTCACATACACAGTTCCATGGTTAAATTGCTTTTAAAATGAGTTGTATAAACATCATCACAATTAGTTATAGTGCTCCCTCCCTCTTGTTCTGGACCCTTACCCTTTGAGCTATGACCTTGAATTCAGATCCTTCCATTTCTTACCATCAATTTCAGAATTGTCTTTTATGTTAATTATTGCTGAGTTTTCAGAAAGGTGTTAGTGCATACATTATGAAAAATGAACATCAATTTGAGGCTGGAACTATTTTACCCAGTAATTGTGATGGTATGGAAACCTGCTGGTGTCCACATTTTCCTTATTTTCAAATTTATTTGGAAATAAGACTCTTTTGACCCCAAGAAATAGAGTTTATTTTATGAATCTTATGCTTCTCTTTTGTGACTGGACAAAAAAAATTGTGGAAATAATACTATTTGGGTTGCAAAGTGGATACCTTTTGTCCTTGTGTGGTTTTTCTATGTGAAAACTACTTGAGAGGTTGTAGGTAAGGGGGGCATTCAAAATAACTGGAAAACTGACAGCACCTTATCATGAAATTTGGTACTGTATGGGAATTTAAAATCTGCTTGGCATAATAGAACAGCCTGAAAATAGAGACTTAAACTTTATCTCAACATCTTGACATGAGACTAGCTCCCTTTGCTAGCAACAGTTTCTCCAACTTTTTAATTTCATTTCTCTGCCTTTTGTGCGGACCTGATCATATGTCCTGAGAGAAATACCTTCTCTGTGTTTTAGCAGACACAGATGTCACACACGATCCCTGGAGGATCTTTCCTCTGTGATCAAACAAGTGCAGGAAGTGATAGGCTCTTCCCAGTGGGTCTTGACATATTGACATATAATTATCAATTACTCTTTACAATAGATCCCCAGGAACAGATATGACTGAGAACAATTTAATAGCAGGTTCCCACACAAAAAAGTTGTCCTGTCATAGTCCTGTGACCTTACTGTAATTAACTGAGGGGCGTGCATACTTATAAAGTTGAAAATGCAGCTTTTTCCCATAAGTTGCCTCAAACCTTCAGAAAGCCAAGAACCCTCTGCCACCAAGAGCAATGACTGCCTGGGTGGAGCAAACTGAACATGACTGCAATTGCAACAGCTGCAAGCGAGAGCTACAAAAGGACTTTTTCCCTGATGGGAGGTCACTGAATCATAAATCAGACCATGCCTCTATTGTGTGCTCTGATAGTAAAGAGTCTGGACATTTTAAGAAATATGTGTTCAGTTGAAAAGTAAGAAAGCTACAGGCAAAATCAAAGTCGGGGGATGGACGCGGGGTGGGGCAGGCAGCAGGTCTGTCTTGGAGAAGGCAACTACTTTTCAGTTGGTGGGTAATCCAGGTGGGGCAGCCTGCCACTGGGAAAAATGTTTAACATGAAGTGTGTAGACCCCCAGTAAAATAAGCCTGGCATCATGTTCCTAATTGGGTACTTTAGACTGCCGTTTTGGAGGTACACAACATCCTTCAGAGGCCACACCAGAAGGATCTGACTTGGAATTTTCACTAAGTGAACTGGGCTCTACCTCCAACACACCTAGCAGACTAAAGGAACTGAAATACTTTCTTGGGCTTAAGACTGAAATGCTGTAGTGTGCAAAGAAGCAGATGACTACTGTCCCAAGGCTATGGATGTGGAAATCATTGGAGTGATTGAAAAGTCTTGTTTTAGGGTGCCCAATAATTCACAAGTCACGACTAACATGTATTAGCTTTGTCATGCCCTTTAATTTCATGTTTCAGTCCAGCAGACATAGCTCTGCCTTTAAGAGTGGACATTATTGAAAGCTTTGCCCCATCGCCAGCCCTCATTGTGTACATAGTCCCCAACTACCTAAATTGATAATCTGTGCAATTCAACAATCAAGTATTTTGGCCTAAAATAATTCACCTGTACATACGTACTTTTCTCCTTTTGACAATGTTTTAAATTTTGTACCTTTGGATAATTCAATGATAATATGAATAGAACATGCCCCATGGAGAGGATTCACAATGTTCTCCAATAAAATAATATCTAAAGTGAACCAGGGGCATACACAAATCAGACATATGAATTGATTTTGAACTTGCATTTAATCATAACCCTAATCTAAGAAGAATTAGTTCTTATAATGT